CCCGGCCTCCGTGAGTGCTGCCGCGGGTCTTGCCGGGGTGTCCCCGGCCCCCCGGGAGCCCTGCGGGGGCGGCCGGAGCCGAAAACGCGCTTTGTCTCTGTTGGAGGGCAGCCGCGAGCACCGCTCCGAAGAATAATTTATTGTCATGATTTTGGGTCAAAAGCCACCGCGGTGTCCGCGCAGCCTGGCATCCCGTTTACACAAGCCCCGAGTTGATTCTCCTCTAATTAGCTGCGTTTTTTTAGGAGGAACACATCGCTTTTAAGCATCGGTCAGCTGGGGAACCCAGCCGATGCCCTCATCAGCTGCCGTTGATTGCTTAATTACTCGCACTTTGCGCTTTGCACTTTTAGTTTTAGCTGGACCTATAGATTTTCAACGTGTTACTAGAAGCTGCCTTCCAGTGTAGATAACGCAGCTAAACCGTAGCAGGTTTGTGGTCCCCACCACGTGAGGTTTTTTCCAAGTATTCCCCGGTTGCTCCTTGGTTTGTCAGTGCCAGGTTTGGGGCTCACCCCGTAGCTTTGCATCTGAGGTTCCTGTACCGTACCTGGCTGACCAGTCCCCTCTGTATCGACGCTGCTCTTCGCCTTCCCATTCATCTGTAAAGGATGTTGGTGATCTAAGATTTTATTCCATGTTGCTGATTTAAGAAAAAAAAGTTGAATGTTTCAGGGTCTGGAGCCAATCTCTGCTGTACCCCATTAGAAACACTTAAGAAAAATCTTTACTGCTGCTTATTTCGGGGATTTCTGCTTTGAGGGTTATTATAAGAGGACTAAAAGTGCATTAAATATAGGATGATGAGTTCAGTCCCCTGTAATTAATGTCTAAATGTTACAGAAGCTCCTGCCCTTCTGAGATGATTTATTTCCATATTGTAATTTAAATCCTGAAAGGTTGAGATAATATATGGAAATGAATCATCTCCATATTCCACATAACTTCTGTCTCAGCACTGTGAAACTTCTGGGGGAGCCGCACTCTTCCCGACTGCTTCAGGGGGGCCTGGGTGCTCCCGGTCCTCCCCCAGCACAGGAGCTTTCAGGCGCCTTCAGGTGCGGATGAAGGTGCGCAGGGTTATCGGAGCTTATTTAATATACTTTTATACAGCAGTGAATCATATTAAAAAATATATATGAATGCCTCCTGCATCACAATCGCTAATGAGGTTGCCAATGGGGAGTGTAGCAAGCTGTCGATGGCACGGTTTCCTGTGGCTCTGGCTTGGTTTCATCGTTAACAGTGCAGATTTCTCCCCGTCTTTGTGCTTTGTTTGGTTGTGCTGAGCTTGCTTCGCTGCTGGTAACGTTCCTGGCAGTCAGCAGGATGTACGGAGCATCCGACCCTGCGTTTACTAAGTTGATTTTCAGACTCGCCCCTTTCCTGCATCCCTTCAGACTGATTTTTCCTTACTTTCGGCCGTGCTGCGGTGACAGCCAGGAGAGCGATACTGGTTTTCTTTGAACCATGGTAGTATCAGCAGAATTGCTTGGCATGACTTCAAGTGAGAACCTTGAGGGGGAGAAAAAAAAAAAAAGCTGGCTTTTTTTTTAGGTCATTGCTTTTAATCTTTTACTTCAGATGGTAAAAACATTCTCAGAGCAGTAGCCCTGCCTGTGCTGTGCTCTGCAAAGCGCTTCCCTGATACACTTGGGCCTTGCTCTTGCAGAGCTTTAATGGGATCAGAGGCCAGCCTGTTCCTCTTGGATCTGGGCTTTGAATGTTTGAGCATCCTTTCATGGGAGCAGGGGCTGGGAGTTGCTGTATGAGGCTGCATTCCTTTTTCTTTTTGTGTGCGTTGCAGAGGGGTAAAGGAGGAGGTGTGCACACTCCATATCTGGTTAGCTAGACTCAATCCAGTCTCATAATAATGCAGTAGACATTGTCCAAGCTGTTATTGCACAGATTTAGAAACAAAACATCGTTAAGTTTGCTCTGGGTGCTGCTTGCCTGGCTAGTAGAGGCAGGTGTGGGGAGGGAGGATGGAATACAAGCTGCTGTAATGCTGCAATGTAGGAAAAATCGCGTGAAATTGGTTTTCACCTCTTGCAGGCTTCAGCGTTTCAGGTGGAGGAGGAGCTGAAGGAGCAGCAACGGGAGAAGGCAGCCAGCCTGAGACGTTTCCAGGGAGAGGTGAAGCAGCGGGTGAACCAGCAGGTCAGGATGCGAAGAAAGCAGCAGCTGCAGAAGTCGTACGAAGCAGTAAGCAGATCTCTGTCCCTGCCTCGCAAGGGGTCTTGCAGGAGAAACTCCTCTGAAACCAGCATAAGTTGAGGAAAAAAACCCACTAGACCTCAAGTCAAGGTGTTAGTAAGAAAAAATGAGGAAACTCGTGGTCATGGCAGGGCTCATGGCCACAAATGGTGTCCCCTCAAACGAGGTCAGTGTGACACCTTGGCTCGCTCTGGCACTGAAGGAGCTTTATAAGCCCTTTGCCTCCCTACGGAAAGGTCGCTGGCTGTCTTGGGCAGCAGCAGAACAGAGTCCTGGTGCGCCGTGCAGAATTGCATGGAGTTAAAAAATAGCCAGGGCAGAGTTGTGAATGATGTGGATGTCTCGTGGTTGCGTTTGGAGCAAAGCAGCTTATTTCTGCTATCCCTTTTCCAGGGCAGTCAACTAGTTCGCGAGCAACACTTTCACATTCCTGTTTCCCCCATGGGCTTGTTTTAGACTATTGTGTGAATATATTTAATCCTTTCTACTTTTAAACAATCTGCCAGGAAGACTTGCCAGAAACTGACTCTGGAGCGAGAAGGGAACGCACGGAAATGTCAAGGGTTTTGGCCACCCCTGGGGTGTTTGGGCTGTTTCCAGGGATCGGGAGGCATGGTTGAGTGGGGATGTCCTCACATAACTCTGCTAGCACCGCTGCAAACTGAAAGCCTGCGGATGGCTTCAGGCCCTGAGAGCCTGAAGGCTTTTTGTGCCCCTCTAGGCATGGAGAGCAAAAATGTCCATCCCAAGAAACGCCACCAAATTGAGCCAGGAGCTCCCACGCAGCAGGGTGGTGTCCTGCTAGATGATAGTGGCTTTTTAACGCTGGGGCCTGTGTCCCGGCAGGCAGAGAGGGAGAGCTGCGTCGCCATGCAGTACTCGGACTCCGCGCTGCGCTTGACCCCCAGGAAGAACACGTGCCTGTTTCGGAGCCACCCTGCGCCCGCCATCTGCGGCCCCGGCGCTCGCGCTGTCCTGGCACAGCGGCAAGGGGTGCCAGGCGAGCCGTTCCAGCAGCAAGCTGCCAAGGTGAGCGGTTCCCCTCCTGCATTTTTCATCCCTGCTTCGTCATGCTGGTTGCTCGTGGCTTGAAACGGAGGACAGGTAATGTTTATCTTTCTACCCTCTTTTACAACACGTCCCTATTTTTTTTTTTTTTCATACTGAATGAAACATTGGCTTACATTTTCACTCTAGTTTACTGCATGTTGTCGTACTCCTTCATAGCTCTTATCAGAGCCTCAAAACTGATAGCAAATGACTTCTTGGAGCGTGCTGTGGTTGTATTTGCCCTGCTGCTTGTAGATCTAGTTTCCCTCTGCACGCAGGGACTTGTTGCCGTGCAGGCGTGTCGTGTTGGAGAGGTGGCACTAGGTGGTGCCACCTCATTGCAGCAGGAGTATGGGATCACTAAGTCTTGGAAAACCTGCCTTAGGGACTGTTTTAAACTTTTTTTAATAGTGATGTTTATGCTGCATTTGGCATTTTATAAAGCATGTGTGTTCGGCTAGGAGCTGGAGTTACTCTGATTGAAGTACCGCTTCCCTTGGGGCGGAGAATCACTTCTGGCTGGACACCAGCAGGACAATTGGGGATCTGGGACTTCTGGCATCTCAGCAAAGTGTTTTGGGAGCAGATGAGCTGTCACCAAGTCCTTTACCATGCCTGGATTGGGATTTCAATGCACTGGGGGAGCTCTGAAAGACACTTTGGATTGTAGGTTACCTTATACCTGTTTGTGAAGCTAATTGTGTGTTGAGTTGCACTCCCTTGGTAAAGCACCTTGGTTGGAGCAGGGTACCTTAGGAGATCTCTTCTGTGCAGCTAAACTTCTTGGTGTAGTCCTCACAGAAAGCAGCGAGTGACTGCTTCTTTTGTCTTGTCTTTACCTTCCCTCCTAACGGCAGCTTAGCAAAACGGTGAAGCAAGTTCGGCGCAGGCTGGCGTCCTGCAAAACCGTGCCTCAAGGAGCAGGTCCTCCCGAACTCCCCGGTGGCGTCTGGAAGCGAGAGGTGAGTGAGGGGTGCCTAGTGTAGGGTAAGAGGAATTACCTTGCAAACTGTTCAAAGTCAGGCTCAAATTAGCAAATCCAGAGAGTAGTTCAGTGAGTTTCTCCAGCAGAAGTAAAACACACTGGGCTTTTGTGACCCACCTGAGCCCATCTATTTCGGCAGCCCAAGGGCTCTGTCCCTCTGTTCTTGCTGTCTTTCAGAGAAGGCAGCAGGATAAAGTGGGTGAAAACATCGCTGCTTGCAGAGACTAGCAAGAGATAAACTAGGAAGCAAGAATTCAAAAAATATTTTTTTAAAGGCTGAGATTGTGATCTGGTTACCTGGGAGGAATGTGATGATCAGCCCTCCCCTTAGGTGCCATTATTTCTTCAGCAAACCTCAACAACTCTTTTCTTTGCATCAATCCCTTGTTTTGTGTGGGTGGCAAAGATCTGGAGGGTTTTCCTCACCCAGGGCTGGCTTCTGGTAGAGAGTTGTCGGCATGCATCTGCTTTCCTCGAAGCAGTGCATAAGAGCCACGTAAGGAGGTCAGTCCCAAGTGCCTCACCTTTTGTTCTGTTGAATTTCATCCTGCTTTTGTCACTCCAGTTTTCAAGAGCAGCTTTTTGTCACAGCTTTTATCCTGCTTTCTGTGCCAAGACCTTTCTTAAATTGTCACAATTTGTCTATCCGTGAGTCCTGGGGAACACCAGCAGCAACCCAACCTGGTATGTTGTCTTATTGCCTCCTCCAGAGCCAGTTTCCTGCCCATCTTGCAATTCTTCATTCCCATCTCTTTCTTGGGTTCATCAAAGGTGAAGTAGACCTTGGCTGGCTGTTATCTAGAAAACACCTTTTATATAAGGGCTGGTCTGGCTCTTCCTCCTCTGTGTACTCTGGGATTTCTGTTCAAGGAAGTCAGCTTTGGGAACAAGAGTTACAGAAACTATATAATTACGGGCTCGAAAACCTTGTTATCTATTTCGAACACTAAACATACCTTCTATTTAGGTCCTCAATGCATTCAGACTGCTCAGCAAGACGGAGTGATTCATTACTTGGCTATTAGTAGCACCAAAGCCTCCCATGAATAATACGGTGGCTGCCCATGCGAGCCAGAGGGTTACAAGAAGATAGCGAGCAGGATGCGTGGGAGTCCCCTGACGAGTTGTCCGCAGCAGTGAGAAACAAGGCTGGGAGGGATTGGGGGCCTGCTCCCACCTGAACCTTACTGCAGCTGCAGTTAATCTGTGCTCTCTTCACACCTCTGGGAAGGAGGATTTAACAGCTTCCCTAGGCAATTACTTCTGGGAGGAATGTATTGATTTATTGCATTACTCTGTTTTATTACTCCAAGATAGTAAAGGAAAAAAAAGTTCTAATATTAATCTGACTCTTTCTCCCTGTGTAAAGGTGTGCCATGTTCACAGCTAGGCACGACAGCAGCAGCTTATTCCCTTCTCCTCAGGTGCAAAAGGCTGCCAGTGGACTTAACCACCCCGGTAATTGCTGCCGTAGCGCACTGCCTTGCCCTTTGCATTTGTCCTTGTTGAACTTCCCTGTGTTGTCTATTCTACCTGATATCTTTGCTTTGAACACAAGCTTTTTTAGCCTGTTCTCAGATAATTCTGCAACTCCAGGTGGCTTGGTGGGGTCAGCAAATGTAATCAAGATGCTTCTTTCTTCTGTCATCCAGGCCGATAATGAAATTATCAAGCGGAGCCCACCGAGTTCGTACTCTGTTTTTGTGCAGTGCACTCCTGAGACTGAATCTGGGTAGTGGTTTTAATCAGTATTGCATCTCCCATGTAATAGTTTCATCTAACAGATATTTCCTTACAGAAGTGTTGAATTAGGCCATGTCAAAAGCTAAGCCAAAGTCGAGATGCCTTCTGCTGCGCTCTTGCCTGAGGCCTCTTCTGTTGTAGAAGAAATTCAAACCAGCTAGACATGACTTGCTCTTGACAAATGTATGCTGGTTGCTGCTTATCTTGTTTTCTAGCAGCTTACAGGCAGTTTGCAAGATGATTTCCTCTTGTTTTTCCAAGTCAGGCAGTTAAACTCCTGAGGCTAACATCTCTGTAGTATTTCCTTTCCCCTCTGTTATATATAGACAGACACTCATGCCCTTTTCTGATAATCTGGATCCCCACAGATTTCGGGGGCAGGGGTCTGTTAGCAGCTTGCCAGCCACTCCTGGCAGTAACGCAGGACAGGTCCTGCCTTCTTAAAAACCTCAGCTCCTAGGAATGATCGTTTTCTTCCCTGTTCTAGTCCAAGATTTTTCTTGCCGCTGCCATTAGCTCAGAGCAAGACTTTGGCTGAGTGCTAATGCCCAGAAGTATAAAACACTGTTGTTCTTGGTGTCTGATAGCTGCCCTTCTGGAGTAGCAAGTCCTTTAGTCTCTCTTGCTAAAGCCTGACTTGTTACATTGATCTGTCTTGTTCTACTTAGAGCTTTGGCCTTTCTGGCACTTGTTTTGTTTTTTTGTCCTGGTGTGCTTGTGCTGTCTCCTGCGTGATTTCTTTAGTAATCTGACCCGTGCTCCACTTCCTCTGTGCTCACATGGATCGTGGGCGCAAGAAAAGCTTGGGATGTAGCCAGGGTTGTCTTGCACTGCGCTTCTTGCCTTTCCACTCCAGGCAGGTAGTTTGCTCAGTTTAAAGGAAGTGTTGCTTCTCCTTCAGTCCCGTTTTCTGCATTTTTCTTCCCCGCTCCCCGCTTTTTTCCCTCCAAAGAGTTGCATTCCCTGCAATCAATAATCCAGGTTCCCAAAATCGTTGCTCTTCCTCCCTCCCAAACCTTTCTTTTTGGGTCAAGAACATTCCCAAGGTAATCACGTGGAAATGACCTGTCCTGTGTTCCAGAGGATCCTGTTCACCAAGTCTTCAGCCACTTTGCCTTTAGGGTTTGGTAGTCTGCTGTTGGTCCCCAGCATGACAGCACCCAAATTCTTTTCCTCAACTGATCATTCACCAAAGTTGTTTTTTTTCCTCCACAGTTTCATTTCCATCTTCCTTCAGGGCTTCAGAGCATCCTTACAAAGCAATAACTGTTCCGCTCTATTCCCTTGTCCTCAACCAAGCAGCTCTTGTGTTGTGTTTCTGTCATAACAGGGTTGATGGAGTAATTCCTATGCCTATCAAATAATTTCATGTTCAAACCAACTCCAGGCTATTCTCCATCCTTCCTGTATTGCAGCAGAGCCATCTCAAGGGATCCCTGGTGTGTCCTGCTCTCCTCCTGTTGATCCATCCTCTCCCTCAGTCAGCAGTCCTGCTCTTCCCTTCCTGGCACGCTGAAGGGACAGCAAGGCAGGAGGAAAAAAAAAAAAGAAGAAATCCTGGCTCTGAGCTTGCTTCTGGCATTTTGATTTTTTTAGTTTGTAGGAAACAATCTGCTGCCTCTCAAAATATTGTTAATTGGCACTGGGGAGCCTGCCCACTTCCCATCTGAAGGAGTATGCCACGAACTCGAGTGTCATTCCAGAGATCCCACCCCCCCCAACTCCTTGCAGTTGCGAAACAGCGCCTGGAGAGGTCTTCTCCTTGCCTTTCCTTCGCCCCACACGCGTCTGTCCCTCTGTTTCTGCAGTTGGTGAGAACGTAGTCACAAGTTACCCTGCTAAATTCAGACTTTCTGGCCCTCGTGCCCTGTGGTGGTGCTGGAACACATTGCGTTGCTGCTCGCCAGGTTTCAGCTGACTGTACAGAACAAGTGCCCTCGGGTTAAAGCTACTTCTTACCCGTGCACAGGGGTGTTGAATTTGCCCTCGGCACCGAAGCAGCCACATTGGAATTCCATATTTACACCTGTCTCCTCCCTTTTCCAGAAACCAGAGCCTTGCAAGACAGCCACGGTGCCTGCAGAAGATGAGAGTGAGGAACTGCTTCTGGCAGGACATCATGATCTTCCAGCTGAACTGCAAGGCCAGGGGACAGCCCCGCATCAGGCTGAGCAAGACGATGACTTCTACATCAAAATTGAATTTGAAAAAGTAAGACTCACAAGGGGCCGGGCCATTTGGTCTTCAGAGGTTCAAATCGTTGGGATTTGGGTTTATTTCGGCAGAGACTGTGAGGCTGTTGTAGTAGAGCAGTTGCTCCCTCAGGCCTGGTTAACTCTTAAGCCTACTGTCATCAAAACAGGCTTGAGAGCAGTGTCAGAGCTAAGTGAGATTGGCGGCTTCTGTTTCACTGCTTTCATCTTACAGCTGTGGCTTCAAAAGGGGTTTTATTTGCCTGCCTCGTGATGCCAGTTGGCTGGCGCTCAGCGGAAATCTGAAACTGAGTGTGCAATTGCATCGTATGCTTAACCAAACTCCAAACTGCAGCCGGCAGGATCTGCAGCTGCCTCTGGTCCGTCTGCCCTGCTTGGAGGCAGCAGTGGGCTGGTGGTGCATCAAATCAGCCAGAAACCTAGAAAAGAAGGGGGGCAAAAAAAAAAAAAACAAACCAAAAAACCCCAAAGCTTTGCATCAGAGGAACGAGCTGGCTGTGAGGATTCCCGCGCCTCAGGGCTGCCAAAACACCTCCCTTAGAGGCAGCGTGAATGTGTCTGCCTGTGAGGACTGAACTAATGTATTTATCAATTCCTCTTTTGTCTTCGGGCAGGCTTTCGTTAAGCATCTGAGATGTGGGAATGTTTCACCCTGATTACCTGGAGTAGTTAGCAAATACTTCATGGCTATAGCACCGTGTGCCCAACCTTAGCTGGTGATTAGTCCGGCTAGGAGTGGAAATACTGGCTTGGCAAATATTGGAGAGAAGAAGGTGGAGGTTTAGGCTGAGGTTTTAGAAGACGTTGACTGTTGAATTCCCCTGACACTTCTGTTGTTATTATTATTATTTGTATTATTGTTACTTTTCTTGCACTTCACAAAGATCAGAATGAAAATCTGGGGAGGCAAGGTGTGAATCTGTATTTAAACTAAACCAGAAATCTCCTGCGAAGATATCCTTAGGTATATGTTTTGACAAAGCTTTGGTGCTCAGGCTCCTGCATAGAGATGTCGCACGTGTCTCTCCTGTCTATGGACAACTTACACCCTGAAAAAAAGCACAACTCAAAGGTGGCTTGCCCCGTTGAGGACTGTAGGGATGATGTGTAGAGGAGCATTTTGGTGAGGAAAGATGAGAAACGTGACCCCGAAGATGCTGATGCTGCTCTCTTACATTGCCTTCCAGTTCTGTGGTGGATTGGTGAAGGACTCGAGCTTGCCCAAGCCTCCCCAGAGGCTGCACACCAGTTACCAAGCTCCCGTCGTACTCTGGGCTGGTGCAGACCAAGAGGAAACCAAGAAGCAGGTTTGTCTGCTGGAGCCAAGTCCTCATTGTTTCGTCTCTGTTTTGGGACTGAAAGGTATTGAGTGCGGGGGATGCTGCTAGCTCAGATAAGAAGCCTCAAGTGCAGCCTTAATGTACAAAGCATCTGCTAGGTTTGTAAGTTTGTCAGTGTTGATGATGTCTCAGGTCTTGGGCAAACATATTGGGTTCTTTTTTTAAGATCTGTTGTGTCCGTAAGTGCAACCGTTACGTGCTCCTGCAAAATCTGGGATCTGAATAATACTGAAAGGTTGGAGGAGAAACGGGCTTCGTTCATTTTGCCTGGCAGAACAAAGGTGTTGCTTTCTGTAGTTGCATGGAGAGAGAGAAGTTGCCAGAAATGCTTTAAAAAAAAAAAAAAAAAAAAAAAAAAAGAAAGAAAAAAAGAACAAAACCCACTTTATCTTTTTTGGGGATAAGGCTGGCAGTATAAAGGTTTCTACCATATCAGCACCTAACAGGCATCGGGATGGTAGCTTTCAAGCACAGACTGCAGGCCTGATGCTGAGTGTCTGATTTAACGATGAGAGCTTACCAGCCTGCGTCCAGAGTCTGGCTCATGCTAATCGAGGCAATGCAAAGAGATGATGTTTCTCCTGGATGCCTAAAGGAAGTGACTTTTATTTTCCCACTTCCTTCTGACATGAAGAGGAACACTCCCCTTTTCTTTTGTTGGCTTTCTTGCAGCTTACAGTGTAAAACTTGAAAGGACTTTGAACGAATTGCCTTTTTTTTGTTGTTGTTGTTCTTTATATGCATTTTTCCAACAGCCTGATCCAAAATCCGGTTGTGGTTTCTAGGCGGTGTGACAGCAGCTGGGGCTTGTCAAACCGCTCCTTCCCCCAGCAGTTCCCTCTGCCCCTTGCTTTTTATCTCCTTGGCTCTGATTCACCCTGAGATAACTGGTTTTGCAGCACTCTCCTTTGCCTGGGTTTTTTCCATCTGGCTTTCTCCCCCTTCAGCCTGGTGATCTCTCCTGCTTCTTTATCTCCAGCTGTGCGGGGCTCTCTCCGCTGGGTGAGATGGACAAACTCTTGGCATTTATGAGGAAAAATCCACACCTCAAACTTCCTGGCATCATGGTGCTCAAACTAGCAGTGTACCCGCTCATTCCCATGTGTGTGGGAGGACATTTGGTGTGAGCTTCAGCCAGGTTTCCCTACCCCTGTTGCATCCGTGGGGTTAAGCTGAAGCTCAGACATTAAACCTCTTTATGTGCTCAGTACCCGTATGGGAGCTGTTCCCTGCAGGGCTCTTGGATTTGTCCCAGCGGTGACTTTGCCACCTCTGTAGTTCTCCTGCGTGTAGTGGGTCCAGCTCGGTGTTGCTTGCAGTGAACCGCAGAGGGCCACCGGTCTCCAGGTGGATTGAAATTCTTGGACTGTAGCTTGTAGTGCTCTGGAGGATTGGGCTGAAGTGGGAGCCAGCTCTTTCACCCCCAGGAAGGTGAGACTTTAGGAATTTTTAAGGTGGCAGAGCTTCCATCCGTAGGAAGGTTCAGTCGAGGGATGCTGGTACGGAGCGCTCTGCTCCCAGATGTCTTGGTCCTCCTCTCCTAGCTAACCACCGTCTCTCCAGCTTCTCAGCCCTGGGGCGTGTGCACGAGGAGATGTTTGAGGATCCCTTTGGGAAGGAGCGAGGTTTCTGTCCTGGTAGACGTGTGCCCCAGAAATCAAGCTGGGCACCGATACCGCTTGGTATCGGTCCCAGACGTCCTTCTCAGAGGTGCCTCTTCTTTCCTGCAGCGTCAGAACGAGTACCTGAGATACAGGCGCCTCTTCATGAGTATCGAGCGAGAGCAAGTGAAGGAGCAGCAGAGGCAGAAAGAGAGGCAGAAGAGAATTGCTGAGTGAGTACATGCGGATGAGCGCCAGCCTCTTGGTGTCGCCTCCTTCATCGCAGGCAGGGCCCTTCTTAAGGCTGGAAAGGGCTTGTGTGCTTGTCGGCTGTGAACCAGGCAATGGTGCTTTGGAAAGCACTTCTGCAGCCCAAATGCGGAGGCCTTCAGATATGAAAAAACCCCCACGTGATGGGTAGCATTCTGCCTCCTTGGCCGCAAGCTGCCCCTGATGGATTAAAAAGGCCACGTTACCAACTTTTTAAAAATCAGGGAGTATGTTGAAAGAAGCTCTGCAATTCGGATGCCAGTTGTAAAGCCTGACTTTCTCCTGGGTTTATTTTAGTTGCGCAATCTGTTAACCCTGGGGTGGGATTCATTCGACCAGCCCCCCAGGAGAGACTCTTGGGCCATGTTGAGTCCTTTAGAGGTCCTCAGCGCTTCTCTGCCTACTCTCTGAGTCCCCGTGCAGCTTGGGTAGGAGTTGGAAGCCGAAACATCAGGCTGGGAGAGTTGCAGCTCACCAAAGTGTGACTCTGGGCAAGTGATCCCAAGACTCTCTGCTACAGTCCATGTTTAGAAACTTTGGGGTGAGGTCACGTTGTTGTTGTTAAACTGATGTTATCTCTGGGGTTTTGAATATCGGACCCTTCACCCTCACGGCTATAAACATATATATTGTGTAATAAAAAGATCTCCCAGCATTTGTTCTGGACTTGAAAACTCGGAGTCTGCGTAAAAGTATCAGTACTTGGTTTGGTCACTTAGTCATCTTCTCCCTTTTAAGGAGTAATAAACTCTACAAATTCACACCAAAATAGGGAAGAGAGTCTAGTTTGTGGGGTTTTTTTGTCTTTGCCTTGCTTTAAAATCCAAGAATGTAGGTCTGACCACCTCTGGCTCTGCAGCAGGCAGGCTTTGTGGGAGCAGCACAGGCACCCGAGGGCAGGATTTTCATGGTCACTTTTCGGAGGGGAATTGCCAGTCTAAAGAAATGCTCCTCCAGCCACGTTCCTGACGTTTAAATTGGCACTCGGGAGCTTTGGAGGCCTTTTCTGGCCCTGCGAGTGCTGGCGAGACACCAGGGACTTCCTAGTTAGTGTGTTATGTTTTTATTGTATTATTTTTTTTTACCCCATTGCAGGGGTGCTGCCGGAGCTGCAAGATCCTCGGAGCATATGCAGAAAGGAGCTGGTTTTGTAATTACTTAGTGTAAAGCCTTAAGTTGGCCTTGGTCTTATTTTCTATAGCAGAAGATTTATGGTGGGGTAGCTAGGGCTCTATTACCACTTCATTTAAAAGACATTTTGGAGTTTATAACTTGACTAGAGACGTTTGGCTTCAGCACTTCTGGATGTAAAGATTTGCCCCCCCCCAAATGAAGTAACATCCGAAATGTCTCGTTCAGTTATGCTTTCTCCCCCTGGCTTCTACCCAGCCTTGATTTTTTTTTTTTTTTTATTTTGTTTTATTTTTTTAATGCCCTTTGGCAGTGATCAGCTTGTAACATGTTACTGCATTTGGTACTCATCAGTGGGAATAAAATGGCAGATGCTTCAGTTTAAAGTCTTTGTGCTTCGTAATTGCCGTTTCTCAAGGGAACGTGCTTTGCATTTGGTGTGACTTACACAACCCACGTTCCACCGAGTGCCGTGTAGGTGCAAGGGAGATTGAGGAAACAGAAGAAGATTTGGTTAAAAATGCCTCTTAAAGCCTATTTTGGAGTAGGGGTGAGATTCTTGGAGCTTCTCTGCTGCACCGAGCACTCTTCTACATCCCTGTTGTGCTCCCTGTCCTGGAAGCTGCAAGGACAGCTTGCGGTAGGAGCCAAGCTGCCCCACGATCAGAAGAAATCAGAGTGGGGAGGCTGAGCTGCTGCTCCTTTCTGGAGGATCTAAAAGAGCTCAGGCACTGCTCTTGGTTTCGGAAGGACAGCAGAGCAGCTCTTTTGGGGAACCGCAGGTGGCACTTCTTAACGGGAGCCCGTGTGAATGTGATGCGGGAGGGAGCTGGAAGGAGAAGGCCATGATGGTGATAGAACTAGCAGGTGGGAGGAGGTCAAGGGCAAGAGAGCATTCATAGGCTAGTATTTCCATATGGGGGAAAGAAAGGAGGCTCAGAGAGCATTTTTGACCATTTTATCTTGAAAGCTGTTGGAAAGTCAATGCCACAACTAATGCAGGGGCACTTTCCCCTGCCATGCGTAGTTTGGGCAACGGCAGCAGCAGCATCTAGATCTGCTTGCCCTGATCTCCCAGCCCAGGGCCGGTGGGGAATGGAGGTTGCGATGGGGAAGCTCCTTCTCTAAGCGTGTGTGCGTGCCTGCAGGATTAAGAGCAAGAAGGAGAACCAGCGCCGGGTGGAAGAGCAGAGGATGCAGGAGATGGCCGGCCAGCCAGAACCCGCCCTGGGAGAGGGAGCCTGTGAAACCCTGGCCCAGCTTCAGCTGGAGGAGAGGAAAGAGAAGAAGGTTAAGGACAAACAGCAGCGAAATAAGGAGTACGTGAGGTACGGCCAGATCCCCTCTCCTCGTGCGGAGCCGGGTGTTACTGGCAAAGGTGAATGTTTTATCCCTTGCAGGTACATCGAAGCTCTACGGGCTCAGATGAGGGAAAAGATACAACTATATAACATCGACTTGCCCCCACTGTGCTCCTGTGGGTCCGATTTCTGGGACTCCCACCCGGATACCTGTGCCAACAACTGCGTCTTCTACAGAAACCACCAAGGTAGGAGCTCCTGCTTTTGCAGAAGAGGCGCTCAGACCTGGATCTCTGATTATACAGGGAGAAGTCAAACCTGGCTAGACGTTTCTGTGGTGTTGGGCCCCTGTGCTCCTACAAATATACTCCAGAGAGGGCAAGTCAGGTGCTCTGCTGCTTGTTTCTAACCCGACCTCTGCCTTTGTCCCTTCAGGGAGCTTAGTGGCATCCTCAGCAAAGCACCAGCCTCTGTAATGCATTAAATAATGCTGCTGTAACACAGACCTGTGTTGACAGGGCAAGAACCGTAAGGAAAACACTGCGAAACAGGCTCATTACGGGCATGGAAAAACCCCTTTGCCTTAAACGCGGAATCTTCTGTAGGGAGGATGCACGAAGATGGCAGAAATTGTCTTTGTTAGCTGACGGACAGTGCTCTGATCTTGAGTGCAGCTTGGCAAAATACCTGGCTGAGCAAGTGGGAGTCATCATCTAGGGGGAAAAAAAAATGGAGAACTTGGGGCTTTATAAAAATCTTCAGCTTTGCTGCTTTGCGTCGCGTACTGCTTTGTAATTGTGAGTGTACAGAACGTACAGACAAGCACATGGAAAACTACAGACATGTTGATTTATCTTAAGAATCAGTTCTTCGCTCTCTGCTTTACTGTAGAAGTCCGATGCCAAGCCCAGTTTTGGGCCATAAGTGAAACTCTCATCTCTTAACGCTGCTTCTGTGTCCGTTTCCCGCTCAGCCTACAGCCACGCTCTGCAGTCCGTCATCTTGTCCTGCGAGCCCGCAGACACGAGCCCCTCGGCGAGGCTGCCGCTCCGAGACCTGGCCACGCTCTGCGTTCGCTCGGGGAAGCATCTGTGATGAGGGCAGCCGTGTGTCTCCTGCCTCCCGGCATTTTGGTGACAGTTGTAAGTAGAGAGCAGGGCTGTGCCCTGTCCTACCTGCTCCAGCTGGCACGACGGCGCCTTTGCTGTCCTTCTCCTTGGGCTGGGCTTTAAGCTGCACCTCTCCCATTTTGCTCTGTGCATGTGGCCGGCTGGCCCGGGAGCACGGGGCAGTGGTTGGTGTGGAGGAGCCGGTTGCCTGCGGGGCTGGTTTAGAGGCAGGCCCTTCAATTTCTGTGTTGGACTGTGGAATAAAGTGCTTGCAAATGTTGTCTGTCTCATTTGGAGTGAGAAATGAGGAGAAATGAGAATATCTCTTTGGGCTAGGAATGGGGAGGGTTCCTAACCTCTTCCTTCCCCCTCCCTTCTCCCCATTTCTCTAGGGCTCCTGCCAGCCCCTGCCTCTCGGGTCACGGTCCAGAGCCAGGTATTTATTGCCCCTTTGCCTTCTTCCGGGTGAGGACCTGTCCTCCAGTAACATCCACCCAGCTTGGTACCCGACTTGCTTTCTCCCAGCCTCTATTTTGCTCTGGAAAGGAGCTTTTTCCTAGGAAAATCTATTTAGTCTCCAGGTGTGCGCAGCCTCTCAACAGGGGTTGCTGGAGCAAGATCCTTTTTACCAAAAATGACACCGGTGGGGTAATGCGTTCCTGGATGGAGGTTGCACCATAACCCGTCATTAATATTGACTGCTTGCCAGCACCTCTCCAATATTAACCGTGGCAGGAAGGATGGGCGGCCTTTTTCCTAGGAAAATCTATTTAGTCTCCAGGTGTGCGCAGCCTCTCAACAGGGGTTGCTGGAGCAAGATCCTTTTTACCAAAAATGACACCGGTGGGGTAATGCGTTCCTGGATGGAGGTTGCACCATAACCCGTCATTAATATTGACTGCTTGCCAGCACCTCTCCAATATTAACCGTGGCAGGAAGGATGGGCGGCCGAGGGTGCTGGGCGCTGCTTCCCCGCTCCCC